AGCTGTGTGGGGAAGTAGAAGGAGCAAGGAAATATGTAAAAATGAGCAATAATCAAGACAGTGAAGACAGAATTAAATCAGGGAAAGATCACCCCTTGAACTTGGTAACATAGTCACTATTGAATAAGTTGTTTCCATGCATATTTCCAAATAGCCAAAATTTTACTTACTACACTATAATTATATATTCTAGTTTTTACTGCCTCTAGTTATAAATTCATCCTTAGTTATAAAACGTCTTCATTCTTGAAAGCCTGAGATGAATAAGAAAGCATAAGTCAGACATATCTAGCTGCTGGGAAAAAAAAAAAGTAATATCCCTGTGTGAAGACAAGAACTATCCTCACCCTCACATCAAATATCTTGATATTTTTAATCCAGCTTCCTTTCTAAGCAAGATTGTTCCATACAGTAACTTTTCATTACTTTCTTGTCAAGGCAGTTTTCTTAGCACTTTCTTGTCAGTATTTAATTGTCTGAGGCTCTAGGGTACTCACCTCTTCTTTAGGGAGTGTTTTTTACTGTCCAGTACAGCAAATCCTGTCAGAAACAATTAACCTTGTGGTAAAGGGCCAGCATTATAGCTAAAAGACTTTGGTCTTGTGTGCCTCAAATCTTGTCTGTTCTCTGATTACCTCTACTGATCTAAACATAGCCATGACCTCTTCCTGCAAACCTTTCTGCTATTTTTGCTAGCACTTTCACCAATGCTGATTTCTCTAGGTAAGGTGTGTATTTAGTCCAACTGCTTATGTTGCACCTTCGTGTTAGCTTTCCCCACCAATCCTACTAAGCCAGTGGTTCTTGAGGGGCTGTTATCTTTGAGCACATTTTGAAAAGTAAATTAGGAATGTGGAAGGTGCTGAGGTGAGTCATGTTAGCCTTCAAAAGGGACAAAAATGAGGGGTCAGGCAACCAAGCAAGTTAGCCTCACCTACATCCCTGGAAAGGTGGTAGAACAGCTCATCCTGGATGTTGTCTCTAAGCATGTGGAGGACAGGAAGGTGATTAGGAGTAGGCAGCATGGATTCCACAAGGGGAAACCTTCATAGCCTTCTATCATGAAATAATTGGCTGATTAGATGAGGAGAGAATGAAATAATTGGCTGATTAGATGAGGAGAGAATGGTGGATGTTGTCTAGCTTGACTTCAGCAAAGCCTTTGACACTGGCTCCATAATATCCTCATAGTCAAACTCAGGAAGCACAGGTGAGATGAATGGATGGTGAGGGGAATTGAAAACTGGCTGAATAGCAGAGCTCAAAGGGTTGTGGTCAGTGGCACAGAAGCCACTGGTGTGAAAGCTGGTAGCTAGTGTTGTCCCTGAGGGGTCAGTATTGGGTATCAATGACCTGGAAGAAGGGAGAGTGCCTCCTCAGTAAGTTTGCTGATGATACAAAGCTGGAAGAAGTGGCTGATACACAGCATTCAGAGGGACCTGGACAAATTGGAGAGCTGGGCAGAGAGGAACCTCATAAAGTTCAAGAAAGGTAAGTACTTCAGGAGGAATAACCCCGTGTGCCAATACACAATGGGCACTGAGAAAAGGACTTGGGTATCCTGGTGGACTAGTTGAACATGAACCAGCAGTGTGCCCCATGGCTGAGAAAACAAGTTGTATCCAGAGTTCCGTTAGGCAGAGTGCTGCGAGTAGATGATCCTCCCCCTTGTCCACTTGATTCACTGTCAGGGAGATTTTGATACCATACCAAGAGCAAGATTAAGACACAAACGAGGTCAAATACCATACAATCTTATAAGCTCTATTCTTATAATAGTGATAGGACAGAGAGAAGAAGTAGAAGAAAAGGAAAACATAAAGAAGAAAGATAAGCAAGCAAGCGGGAGAGATGCAGCAAGATTAGTTACCACCACCACCACCACCGGTCCAGTTACGTTTCTTTGGCTCTGCCTCAGTGTAGGTGATGATTTCTTGGAAAAGAGCTGAGAAGATGGAAAAGAAGCTTCCCTCTCTGTGCGCCCAGCCCTCAATCGGGGGAGAAAAGAACCATAGTCCTTTTATTGTCCCAGTTCCTGAGGAGTCTACCCACTTTCTTGAAGTTCTTTGCTTTGGTGCTCCTCTTGTCCCCCATTCAACTGCCAGCACCGTTCGGCAGGCTCTGCTGAGCATCGTTGGGGTCTTGAGCTAATCCATGAAGTCGTAAATTGTGTGGAGATAACAAACTTCAAGCTGGTATCCTAGTCTTCCCAGAGACAGGATGCCAAGGCAAAGCAGCTGTTAATTGTATGGAGATAAACACCTGGAGCTGGTATCACAATCTTCCTAGAGACAGGATGCCAAGGCCAAGAATTCATAAATTACAAAGAGATAAACACTTAGAGCTGATATGGTAGTCTTCCCAGTGATAGGAGGCAGGAATCTGGAAATTGTATGGCAGCAATGTTGAGAAAAAATACAGTCCACAATAGCCTCTTACACCCCTCAGCCATTATGAGGATACACAGTATTCAGTTCTGGGCTCCCCAGTTCAAGAGGGACATGGAACTACTGGTAAGAGTCCTGTGTAGAGCTATAAGGATGTTCTTAAGAAACTCCAATAACTTCTGGTTATCAGTTTTGATGAAGAAGACAGAAATAATTGGCTAGGATTCCTTCCCTTGAGACTTGGTGCTTATTCCATTTTATAAATTACAGTGCATCAGATAACGACTGGTACTCCTACATCACATCAATTCCTCTGGATGATGTCTTATGTGACATAATGATCTAGGTTTCACAATTTGAATTTATGTTCATTTAGGGAAGGCTTGTGATAACGCTAGTAATCCTTTTCTTGAATTCAACTTTTGGTTATATTGCAAGGAAGTGTAAGATGATTACTAAACACTACTATTGCTTTACAGAGCATCGTGAGAAGCTGGTAGGTTTATCAAGTATTTGTGCTTTAGAAAAAAGACAATGAAAAACAGACAAACAAAAAGGAATCTAATACGATACTCTTTTAGTATTGGACTAGGGATGTAGTATGAATCTTACAAAGCCCATATCAAGATTGCAAAAATTTAGTTCTTCTCATGAAAGAGAGTAACAGAAAGGCCAAATGCCTAATGTCAGTGAGGTGCCACTGGCTTACTGAGAAGTATGACAAATTTCTGCTTAATTTCAATAGCCTAGGTCAGATTTTGTTTCTCTTTCTAGACTCAATAGGGCAACACTGGAATAAGCTGGTGGTAGCAGTAACAAGAGACTGTTGCAAAGGTTGATAAAAAGCTAAACTTTGTCTCCAGAGCAACTCAGTGCAAACTGGGATACCCTTTAGTGATCATAGGTGTAACAAGGTCTTTCTTGCTCTTTCTTCCTACTTCTCAGTTTTTTGAAAAGGTTAAAATGAGTTACCTATTTATGAATTGTCTTCAGTGTGTGAGGCAGACAGCATAACAGCTAGGAAAGAGGTTTGTCCAGCACCTTGACTACTATTTTCTGTATGAAAAACCTTGTAATATGAAAAAACCATTTTGATGTGTTACTGAAATTTTTCTCCCAACTCCCACAGAATAGTGGAAGAGGAACTGGAGCAGTGGCAGAGGAAAGAGCCACAATTTTTGCCCTGGGTGCGCAAAAGTGGCTTCTCAATGATAGGAGAGGGGAAAAAATCCAGTTGGCCAGCTAAGTGAGATGAATATGGACTAGTGGTAGGGAGTGCTGTGCATATGCATTTAAAATCAGAACTGTTGCAGGAACTAATGGAATATATTGATTTCAGGTTTTTCCAATGCAGGTAACTGGAAAAAATCACTGGGCTAAAGTTTAGTGTTAAAATGTAAATGGTTTTCCCCTGAAGATCAGATAGTGATACCTGGAAGATCTGACACACTTGTCAGATCTCCTGAACTCTGATTTTGAGATTGTAACATTGCTTTGGTAGTTGAAGACTTTTGAGTACTGAAGTTCCCAACCAAGATTTTTGACAAAAAGTTTTCAGAACATGAAAAGCTTTTTCCTCTAGTTTAGTAATGGCAGAGGACCATCTCATAGTTAACTTTATTCCAAATGCAAAATAAAGTCCATAAATTGTTAGACTAAGTATTTGGGGGAAAGGATCTCGCATGCAAATGCGATGATGTTTAGGAAACTAGTTTGGTTGTTACTTATTCACCTTGGCTAAAGATCTGGCCCTATGCCTTTCACTGACACTGATCAGAGATGCACTCTGTTGTAGACATCTAGATCAAAGCTTCACAGGCATTCTTGTTAAAAATAGCAAAAAAAAAACAACAAAAAAAAATTCTTGCTTTCTTTGCCCATGACCATGCAGGAAATCTTGAGGACTTCAGTTCTGCACTGACTGCACAGATGCAATCTAGGCACAACTGTAATGGCCTACAAGAAACATTTTTTAAGCAGCTTAACTCAACTGATGCAAAATAACCATAGTTTTAAAATATTTTATTTTATTAAATGTTTAAAATAACATAAATTTCATATTAACAATTTTATGGCTGAGGTTCTTATAATTTGTGACTTGACATTTTTATCAGATTTGAGAAATCAAAAGATTACACGATAAATTAGAAACTTTGTAAGTAAGATTTATAACATTAAATTGTTTCATAGCTAACAAGAATATAGAAATAGCAGATAGAATCATATAAACTTTGGACAGTGGGAGAATATAGATTTTACTATAAAGTGGGGTTTGCCAAGATTATGTAGGAACAAGAAATTTTTTATAAGCATTTTCATATTCATCTCAAGAAAATGACTCAATCCACATTTTTTAAGCAATAGAGAAAAGTGGGAAAGCGCATCTTTAACTATCCCCCAATACTCTTTTTTTTTTTTTCTCTTAAATTGTCTTTAGGTAAGTCTACACCACCTTCTTGCCAATGTTTAGCACCATGAAATAGGATATTAACCATTTAACTTTGGATAATGTTTACTCTTCATTAGAATAAAGGGCTCAATTGTAATAAAAATAAATCTGTACTTTCTGCAATGCCAAAAGAGCAACAGCATGCTTTCAAACATGAAGCTGTAACTTATTTACAAACCAAAGAGTGCCCCCCTCCCTCTTTTCCCAGTTGCTTATTCATGATAATTGTTTGATTATGGGGAGGAAACTAGGATAGGTTTTATCACTTAATCATAACTGAATTAGAATAGTGCACACCAAACAAGCACAGTCTGGCATTTCATTATAATATCCACTATTTTTACCATCTCAGTATGTTGCATGAGAAAACGTGTGCTAAAGATCTGAATACATACACACAGACATAACATATACAACCATGTTGTCTTTGAAAATGAAAAACAATGTATTTTTTGAAGACATGAGTAATATGCCAACAAACTGTAATATATCAGTATGTCTGTTTCCCCTGCCAAGGAAGAGCTGCGTTTTCCTAACAAAGTTATTTGGGGATGAGGAGGGAAGATTGGGAAATTTTATTTTTGCAACAGATTTGCTGTAGGTAAACAGCCTTGTTTGTCAGTCAAATGGCAGTTTAAACTCACAATAACATTAGTGATTTGGGTTGTTTTGTTTAGCTATTTAATAAAAAAAAAGAGATTCCTTTTAATTGCAAGCTTGAAAACCATTGCTATTTGACAATGATATGCTATTTGATGTTTCATTGCTTTCACATGGCAGTTTATAGCTATAGCCTACAGACTACTATAAATGTATTAACAAAAACATTAGCACACTGGCTTCAGCAGTGTTCCTGTGTTATTTCTGTAGCAGCAACGCAGGCTTCTGACACCATAAGCGGGTAGATAAACTGCAAGTCCATGGGATGTGATTACAGATGATAGTTCCATTGCGTTGTCTTGTGGCAGATATTTTCTGCACTGGCTGTGCAGAATGACTGCTAATACTTGTCTCCATGCTGCCTGCTGAGAGCTAGAGGAGATGCTGGGGAGGGATGAGGGGACTTTTATTCACGCAATTTGAATACAAGAAACACAAGTGATAACAAAATGCTGAATTGGCTCTTCCCTTGTATGCTACTTCTGTAAAAAGTCTGAGTGCTGTTTCAATCATATGGGTATTAAAGTCTTATTCTCTAGCCCTCAACCATGATAATATCTACTCCTGAGTTTTTACATTAATATGTGGTCCCCAAATATTGGTCTCCACAGGATTTCTAACTTAGTAATTGTACTTGGATTTCAGTTATCAAAAGGGTGTGTGGCACACATGAAAGAGAGAGAGATGGAGCAAGGAAAAAGGAAAGTAGCTGTCATTTGGCTTCTTTTCCTTTAGATACGTTCCCAAAGGCTTGCTATTTTTTCAGAGTGAATGCAAATGCTCTGAGGAACACACAGGTAAGTTCCAAAGGTAAATCACTGCTTGAGGTCAGAACAGGTTTTAAGTCTTGGTCCAGCTTGCTATGATTGCAACCAGGACTGACACCAAAATGCCACTGCCAGGTGTAAAATCTCTGTATTGAGTTTTTTTCTGAAATACTTTTGTGATTCAGACAATCAGCTGAAAATATCTGAAGCCACAAGAAAATGGTTAAAGTTTCAAGTTTCATCACGTTATGTCTGTGTTAAGGAACCTCCCCATAGGTAAGGCTGGAGTTCAGGAGCCAGCTGCAAGAAATATCGTGTAGGTTGTGAAAGTGTGCCAGGATAGCATGAACTGTCTACTACAGCTATGCTCTTGACATCCCTAGCAGCTCCTGCTGTTTTGCAGGGATGATTAGTAGCTTTGCTACTTCTGTTACCTTCAGCAAAATGCTGAAGTGCTTTAAAAAATGTCACCACCGTGGCTCTGCGGGAAACCCCAAGTATCTTTTTGCAGGTGCAGATACACTCCAGATATAGTTTGGATACTGAGCAAATAACATCTGTCAGACTTGTTGGGACAACACAACCTGTGCAAGTAATTAGGTGTGCCTATAGGCATATTTGCTGAACACATGGCACAAGTTTTGAAGGAGAGATGGCAGGAGACTATACTCATAGCCCCACAACAGTAGGTTTTTATTTGTGTACCTCATCCAGATAGTGTAGGTGCTCTGTTGTCTGCAGTATTTGACTTTTATGGAGGATTTGGGGCTTTTTTCTGTCTGTCATGTGGATAACTGAAGAGCTACGATCCCCTTAGCTGTTCCTTCTCTTTATACATGAGAGGCACTTTAAAAGACTTCTAGGATATCAATTAGGATTCTTGCCTTTTCTTAAATTAATTTTCTTTTAAAATAGTCTGCGCATTCTTTTTTTTCTTTTTAACATTTAATCAGAGAAAAGACTGGAAACTGGCTGATAATTGATTTTACTTGAGCAAATACTTTCAAATGCAGAGGACTCCCTACAGAGCCATGCCTCACCTTGCCAAGGCGATTCAGTCTCTGCATAGCCAAGGTAGTTAAGCATTCAAGTATGCAGCCGACCTTTGTGATACACACTGCTAAAGAAGCACTGGACATGAAGTGTCCAGCCCCAGGTGACTGAACTTATGTCCTGAATTCCAGCTCCTGAATTCACAGGCAGTGATACGTGTGCAATACGCAGCATACAAACCTTTAAAGAACTTACATCTTTGTAAACTGGGTGCCTAACCTACCTGAACATCGGTCTGAGGTCATGTATGGTAAGCTTCCAAGTCTTTATAGGCAATGGCAGAGTCCTGCCACTTTGGACAGTGTGCTTCTGGTCAGGTTCTGCTGCAAGCATCCTTTGGCAATTGCTTGAAACTAGACCTCAAGGAATACAAGGAGAAAATAAATTCCTTATTTTTCTACAAAGACTTTTGAACCATCCTGGGGATGGTTATATGAAGATATCTTTTTATCATAGTTCGTTGTCTTTACTGCCAAAAACAGGTATAACTTTTAAAGAATGCCAGCTTTGTAAATCCTACGCTATTCTCAGCATTGAAAAAAAAAATCCCTGTTCCACCCACCATATTTTCTGGGATGTACTTTTTCAGACAGCCAGAATGACACAGCACTACACAAGTTGGATGCTGCAGTTATTCCAAAATGTAGATGTTTTGGAATCTCAAAATCTTAAAGTGCTTATCAAGTTTACTTAGAGTAAAAAAAAAAAAAATCCAGTATTAGATTTGACTTTGAAAATCTGGTAACGTGATAAATTTGTTGCTGTTGTGGTAGAGCCATTGTTGCACCAGCTGCTTTGTAGAAGGTTCTCTTTCTTCCTCTCCCTACGGGATTTCATACTTAGAAAAAAAATGAAACCTGCCATTCGAAAACCAGTGACATCTGTCACTAAGTTAAACAAACACCTCCCGTAGCTCTGGGTATTAATAGAATCCTTGAGGTCCTTTCTAAAGTACAATAAAGGACAAAACGTTTTATCTTCATGTAGCATAATCTTTTTTAAACAGAAGTCAGTGTTATTCTCAACCAAAGCAAGTTTTGAACTCTTTAATTTCTGCTTGCAGCAGTGGTAGCAGAATTATCCAGATTGTATTACTTTATATTTGTTTGGCCAGTGCAAATGACCAACTTCTGAGTGATTTAGCCATAATGAAAGCTTGAAGGGCAGTAACAGGCTGCTTCTGAGCTATAAGGAGAGAAATTTTCTGCAGACAAATGGAGAGGGATGAAAAAGGACCTGTTTCTCAAAAACAGCTTCTGTTTTTTTTCCAGTCTTTTCAGAAGTTTTATCTTCATTCTCAAAGTAAATACAGCACTTTTCAAGACAAAAGTTACTAGCAAAAATGATAAATGCAAAAAAAAATGGGGCTTTATAATAGAAGATAAATTGCAAGCTTAAACACAAGCTTTTCTCTTTTATGGAGTGAAAAATGCCTTTCCATAATAAAGCAGCTTGTGAGTGAGCACAGTCAGCACAGTTAAGACGGGTATATGAATTCTATGCATCTCTTCAATTATGGCTTGATTTCAGTCTGATACTGAAAAGTATCATTAGCAACCCAAGAAAAAAAAAAATTCTGAAAATAAATGTTTTCTGTCTTTTGAAAGACATGACGTGAAATCATTATTTTTAATATGGTATCATTTCACTGAATAAGAATGAAAGAATAGCCTCTGTAGGAAGACCTCTCATAGGTTAATTTTCTCAGAGTTTCTGTACCCTCAACTTTGCCTCATTTAAGGAGTAAAGTGGGATTAAGATAACCTAGGCAGTGCATGGGAAGACAATGACTTTGGTTAATCCATACGCTTGCGCCTCTGACTCTGGGTGAAAGATTCCAGCTTGACCTGCTCCTAAAGCTTCAGTTATGGCTTTAAAAATTGTCCTTGTCCTATAGAAGAAAGACCACCATGTATTAAAGCATTAGTTAAAATTAAAAAGGTGAACATATAACAGTGCACAATAAATGCAGGCTGCTGTTGGAGGGAATGGGTTTTCTGCTGCTTTCAGGGTGGGATGCCCACAATTGAGGATTAGAGGAGATGGAGGTCCTTCTGGAAGAGGCCGGGTGCCAGTGGACTGCTTCAGTGCCTGAGGGTGCTGGATGCTCTGAAGTAGGAAAGGAACTTATAGCAGAGGCTCACCACAAAGTACCAGATGTTTCGAGCCATCTGTGACCTTGCAATGAAAATGCGCCAAATGATCACTAGGAGTGTGGTGTTGAATGCATATCGAATATTCCTCAGCCTGAGAAAGAGAGACATAGATGTTATGGAGGAAGATAAAAAAGCCACCCCAAAAATGTATCACATTATTTCATTTACTGCAGATAATTTTGTAAGAAATCCTTTTTATAAGGTCCTTGGGTGCTTGGTATTCCTATTTTAGTAAAGACACTAAGCCTAGAGTGTCTTCTGCCCCACAGTACCATTCTGCCAGGAAGGTAGTCCAAGCCTCTGTTGTTCAGTGTATTCTTCTTTCATACCAGCATCGAGAGACCAGCATAGACATTGAGTTCATAGTGAGAAGTGAAACCTTCCTTCCTTCTGCAACCACTTTTCTTCTAGTATTTACAGTGCACAGCTATGGTTTTCTTATAAGAAGCTATATCAGGCTAGTTCTGAGCAATTTCTCTTTCTCCTCTTGCCTGTACTTCTCAGTAAGAGGACTGGAGAAGACGGGAAGAGCACAACATTTATCTAAAGTGGAAAGAGAGTTTTATTTTACCCATCTGCATATCCTTCCACAAATGATGAGATATTCAGCTTTAAAGTGAAATTTAAAATACCATGTATGCTTTAAGTATTTATGCAATCCCTTCAAATTCCTAAAAGCTTTTGAAACCTTCACAAATTCTAAATCTGACTTTCATTTATCTATTGTAACTTTGAATGACCTAGAACTTCTGCATTCATAGACTCCTCTTACTTAACTTACTAACTTCTTTATTTGGGCATCTTCTGCAAAGACACAATATCTAGCCTCTGATTATTAAGTTTGCTGTAAGTTCCTTCCTCACAGGATGGAAAATTAAATACAGAACCAACCCTCTGCCACAAGAAAGGGGCTGTGTGGTGTTTATCTTGCATATTATTCAACACCAACATGTTGCAATATGAACAGAGTAATTTTTCTCAAGAGCCATTCAGTGTAGTCAGAAAGTGTTGACCTTGTCACTGGGTATAACTTACTTTCTTAAGTGCTGCTTTGCTGCTGGAATCCCAGACATGTCCTCATTTAACAAGTACTTCTTAGCACCTAGGCAGTAGCTTTCAATGTACTCTGACCAATGCAGCTGGCGAACATCGAAGTTATACAACTAGGATTTAAAAGAAAAACAGTAATGTTTAAATGCCACAATTCAAAACATATACACATTAATTACCAATTCTTCATTGTCCTCTGCTCCTGGTAAGTCCTCTCCACTAAATTTTTAAGGCCACCAAATTCCAATGAAGAGATGGACACTAACAAGCTGTACTTCAAATCTGTGCATTAATGTTTATTCCTTTCTTACCCAATGTGGATTTGGGCAAAACAAGTAGAAATGTGGTTTTGGCTAGAGGAAATAAAGATAGTTTTTTCTTTCAGGTGGCCACTTGCACATAAAAATATGCATATACAATACATATAAATGCATTTATACAGCATGGAAGAAAAATGTCATTCCACTAATGCAAGCTGATTCATCTGAAAACTGCCTTGCAGTTTTTTAATGTGTCATTAGAATTATGGTTGAGTGTAAATAAATGAAGTGGACATTTAATCAAGAGATACCTTTGCATCAGTTGTTACTTTTTTCTGTACTACGCTATGTCTCAGCATCTAGAGTGATAGAAATCCAAGGTATCCAAGGCATAGGTTACTCTTTTGTTTGACATTGAGAAATCTTATTGCGGAGCTAGTAAGATAGTTTCAAATGTTGGTAGCGGAAAAAAATTTAACAATGCTTTTAGCAATTGTTTGTCTATTAAAACAAAGAAGCAACTTGAGTTACAGGGAGGAATTGGTTTTGTATATGTATTTTTTTTTAATGAATGAATGAAGGTGAACAAAATTTCTTACAATGGCTTGAAAGGGGAGATTGGAAAAATATTTTCCTGATTGGTTTGGTGCAAGAGTTTTGGTATCAGAATAGAAACAAATGAGGAGGGAGCAGTTGTCTAACTGTCAAAAGCAGAAGATTAGCTACCATGTTGATCCTGATGTGTCTGTCCAATATGAATAGACATCTCTACTACCTGTAGACTATCTTGTTTGAGTACTGCTTCAATGTAGCAGTGACAGCACTGGATTCAGTACATATCACAGAATTCTCCTACTCTTTGTGTTCTGCCAGTCCTTCAGTTACAGGTCACCCACCAAAAGCCAGGGACTGCCAGAGAAAGAGAGGAGAAAGTGATGTTGTAAAGTATCATCTCCCTAGTTTTCCAAAAGTGAGACACACAGAAAACTAGGGTGAGAAAATATTGGGAATGCTACACAGAGTTTCAATGATTACAACAAAACTACCTTAACACAACTCCTTTTATTACTGTTGATATTCTCTTTGTGGGGTACCTGTACAAGGTATTAGATAACATAGTCATATCCTTCCATTAAGTGGGGGATACCTGAGATACTCAGAGCCTGGAACTGTGCCATGAAGGCAGTATTGCTTACGATGCCTTTAGCTTCCCCAACACAGAAGTTGTGTTATAACAGGATCTTAGAGAATATAAAATCATACTCATTCAATCTGTTTTGTCTGTGGAAACAAATCTAGATTGTTTATATGCCAAATAGAAATATGAGAGCTAAAGACAGAGTGCTGCTGTATTAGTTGGAAAGTCTTCAGTTGCTCTTTCATCTGTTTCGTCAATACATTTTAGAAGATGATCCTTCCTATAATAGATTGTTCCTGATTTACTATTTAATAAAACAAGGAGAAATGCATTATTTCTATCAAAGGTTAATTCCAGTTATCTAGGCAGGGAAGGGCGGGGCATTTGAAGGCTTAACTACGCATCAAAAATTATTGCTGCAGATGAACAGAACTTCAGTTTAGCAGTCTGTATGCAGGATGTGCTTACCTTTTTGTCCTCTGGGTTAAGATGACTCATTAACATATTCATATTATCTGAAGACCAATCCCAGGACTGGGTGGAGAAATACTGCAGGAGCATCAGAGACTTGTGCAGTCGGTTGATAATCTTCATCATTCTGAAAGAGAGTAGGATTGTCAGTGACAGATAGGAAACCTGATCTTTGCTGTAGTTTTGATCTGTAAGTGTTTTCACCAGTTCAGATGAATAGAAATTGTAATTCAGATGAATAGAATTGTAATTCCAGTAAAGCACTTCAGTGATGCTCACCAGGCTGACAACTTGCTCAGCAAGGAGCAGAGATTCTTGATCATACAGCTTTTACTGTTGACATCAACATGGGAGCAAAATTGCACCTCGCAGGGCAGGACTAAAGCCTAATTTGATGGCATGAACTAAGCAGGGGTAAGAACCCAAAAACGCACCTACACCATGCAGTACTGTGAAGTGAAATCTGAACAGCAGATTGCTAACCCAGAAAGGTCCACTGCTTGCCTCACGGACTGGAGCCACTGCACAAATGCAATTCTCATACCTGAGCTGACTGCCACCACGGGGCTCTGATTTTGGTTTGATAGTTCCAGTTCAGAGGCTGCATGGGTATGCCATGAAGTCTCATTCTGAACTTTGGTTTTCAGAAAATGGTATTTTTGTGTGTGTGTTTGTCTTTGGGCTTCTTTGATCAATAACAAAAAAAATTATTTTTCCTCAAGAGTCAGTCCTCTCCTTGTATAGTGCCAGTTTGGAGGGTTTGACAGCATGTTCATTCAGTGAGGGATTCTAGATGATCTTGATCTATCCAGCTCGTAGACACTTATTTTTGGAACTGTATGAACATATTTCTGGAGCGTGAGTGGTCGGAAAAAGTGGTATGCCAGGGATATGGAATCTAAACAAGGAATTTAGAAATAGAGGCTCAAGTTTCTCATTTGTCTTGTGCTTTTACATAATGCTTTTTCATATGGAAGAGGATGACAGTATTGCTATCCTATCTCACAGGATTATTTTACAGCTGTCTCAATGGTCTTGTACAAAATGATGTGCAGTGCTTGAACAATTCTGAGAATAAGCCACATTCTCTCAGAATGGATAAGGGCAAGAGGAAGTATTGAGAGGATGATTTCTGTGGAATACAAAGTTGTTTTCATGAGTAATTTTGAGCTGCCCGGAGGGAAGCAGAGTCACTGTGACAAATAAAAGAAGGCAGTCTGCAGAAGAATGGTGCCAGGCTGGCCTTGCTCTGCACAGATGCAACTGCCACTACAATAAGCACCAAGCACAGCAGGAAAAGACACAATGAGTACATCAATTCCAAGGAGAAATGCGCAGCTTACTCAAAGTGAATTTGAAGTGCATAAAACCTTATACAGATATTCCTACTCAGAATTAAAGCAGGCTTTGTTTTAGAAGTCAAATAAACAATCAGATTAAGGGTATTTTCATTCTAAATATTATGTGTACATAGACTGAATGTTCTTTAACTAAACTGCTTAAAAACTGTTTCAGTTATTCTTCCTGGTTGTGTCCAAGTAGGAAACAACTATTGGGCAATGCTTTGTGAATATTTTATTACATTTAAGGACTTGGGAAACAAAGTAGATATATTGAGTACCAAAGAAGAGCAGCAGAAGATCATGGTTTTCATGCAAGGGGGGCAGATTTCCATGTGGGAGTTTGTTTTGTGTTTGCACCAAAGACATATATGGGGATTTGGATGAGTTGCTCAACTCCCATCCCAAAACATAACAGGAGTTGCCTGGTAACTCCATTATCTCCAGAGGTAAAATCCATTGTGTAGCTTGCACAAGGCCTGTACAACTTAGACTTTCAGTGTGATGTGTGTTTGCACAGATTTGAGGTTGTCCATTAAAATCAGTCCTAAAAAGCAGTCAGTATCTTTAGAATGTTTAGGGGTAATGGAATCTGTCAGAAAAAAAAACATAAGAGAATCAGCTACGTCCCATCTTTTGTTGGAGAGGTCACACTGGAAAGCAAAAGTCCTGTCCCTGTGACCTCTTGGCAATACAGGCAAAATGAGCTGTGCCTGTACCCATCAGTATAGACCTACAGAAAGCAACATATCTGAATGGCTGAAAATTCGGGTTGAAGACAGAAACAAAGGCATCTAAAAAGATAGTTTGAAAAACTGTAGTATATGCTAACTGTTAGAACCCAAAGATCATCACCAAGTTAAAATTAGTAATTAATTTGCATTTAAAAAAAACTAAAAAAAGGAAAAAACATCATCAAGTAGAAAAATACTTTTCTGCAGCCTTCTAGGGTTATGGCAAAAAAATTCTTATAGAGTATCTCATCCTTTGTACTTAGAGGAAAAACAAATGAACAAAAAAGCAGAAAACAAACGCCAAACCACATGTATTAGCTCTCACTGACAGCCTTGGTATTTACACTTCAGAAATGCATCTTGTTTTCTTGAAAGCTTTAAAGTAATGATTTCCCTATTTGCTCCCACGCTGAGCCTTGCATGAGCAGATTCTCAGGTGTGACATTGCTTTGAAAGACTACTAATAACATATTATTTTCTAAGCCATGGATAAGTATGTAGCAATAACTGGAAGCCATCTAAGGCAGTTTCAGTAGGCATCTGCCAATATATGTGGAAAAGCTAACACCTGGAGTAAGATTCCCGGGAGAGGACTTATCTTGCATTTTAAATTAGTGAAAGACATAGACTGTTCTGAATAAACACTTGCAAAAACATAATAATGGTTTTTGCCTTGTTTGTGCAAAGAAATTCCTTCTTACTGCTTGCAAATATGTCATGGGGTCATGGAGACAATTCAAGAAACTACTATAAAAATAGCTTGTAGTTCAATAGATAGGAGTGACAAGTGGGAAGATAAATAAGCCTAGACACGTGTTCAAAGTATAGTGAAAAAATAAAGGGGAACATTTAAACATGTTCAGTGAAACATTCATCCTTTTTTAATTTGAATTTGGTTTACTACCCTTTAGAGCATAAAGATCTGTTATTAGGTAGCTGTGAAAAAGCCTGTTTTATACTGCACTGCAACAGGACCTAGATGAACTTTATTAGCTCAGTAAGAAGAAAGGGTAATTATAAAAAAAGGACTTGAAGAACTCGCAATCCTGTTGTTGAACCTATTTGCTCAGGTCACAAATCTAAAAGCTCAGAAGAAGAGATCTTTTTCAAAATGAGTTCATGCTGAGCTCTATTTGAAATTCAGGGATAGTATTACAGAAATGCCCAATAGTTACTGGTGATGATCACCTTCATGAAAAGAAATGTGCAGTGTAACAGTAATGCTTAGTACTTACTACTACCTGTTTTAGCGTTTTGTGTTTGTGTTTTGTGTTTAGTGTTTTAGTGAAAGTGCAAGCTTTCTAACAAGAGCAGACACAGCACAGCGTGGTCATACTGTTCTACTGCACATTAAATTCTCCTCTCTGGCTGTGAGGACAAAGCACAGAAGTTGGCCAAGTCATTTATTTACAGAAGGATTCTGTCCACATGGGATATACATGCCTTTGTTTATTCTAGCCATGACACTGCCAAGGCTCAAATACAAATTGTAACGGTAAACTGTCCTTGTAAATACAAGTCAAAGTTTTTTCATACTCATAAGCAATCATGCCTTTGTAGATTTCAGAGCTTTGGAGGAGGGCTAGCAACTACTAATTTTGCATTTGATTTATGAGAAAAAAATGTTAGCTGTGATGTTCTAAACCTTGTCATCTCAAGGGTTTATACCTCCTAGAGCCTTTACTTGGGACAGATGGATGCATTCACATAAGAATGTTTTAGTGATTGAAATTTTGTACTACAGAGAACAACAGGACAGTGCTCATAAGCAGTGAGAGTGAAGTAAGAACTGCTTTACTATCCAGACATTAACTTATTTCTAGTAAGTTAGTATTAAACTTAAATTATTTTTTTGGAGGAACTTTCACAGGAGGACCAAAGAGAGCATCTTTGACCTAATATTCCTCTTTTGCTTCTTTGGGAATTGCCAATGTTTGTAAAGCTGAATGTGCTTTACTGAATGTGTGCTGACAATGCAAAAAGTGGGAATTCTAGACTATGCTTGCTACAGCCATGCAGTTAAAGGAAAGGACTGGGGGAAAGGAGAAGATTATGGAAACCAAGCTGACACAGCCAGTTCTCAGACCTTATTTATACATTTTTTTTCCTTCATTGCATTAGTAATTATGAAAATGATTGAAGGCATACCATTTCTTACCTGGGCTTTCTTCCTGTAAGTCTCATGTACAAATCATAGAGTATGGCTGGAGCTTTATGACTGACAGTTATCCAATATTGATTTATCAGGTAGTTTGATGTCAGGTGAGCATTGGGTGTTCTGAAGGCCTGCTCAAGCGGGTTCCTTTTGAATGTGGACATCACATACTGTTCTGTAAAAGAACAGGCATTTTGCTTAAAATCAGAAATGTAACTTGAGAAACATTGGGCACATGATTGAGAAACGTAACAGCATGTGTCAGTAAAATCCAAGCTACTGTGCTTAATATGTTTAACTTACAGTTCTGGAGACTATACAATCATGAAACATATTCTGATTCTAGATTTAAGATCAGCAGACATAAACACCAATGTCAAAACATCATTGTATAATGGGAAAAGATCATATACCTGTAGCCTGAACTCTCCATATCAAGGAGCTACAGTTCTGCCTTGGCTTGCAGCAGATCAAGGAGATGTTTGATGAGTGTTAATATAGCTTCGTATCATTCAAAGCAAATTTTTACCTATTCGCATTAGGCAAAGATGACATTTCTATTTCTAATCACATTTTCATAGGAGCAAGTGACAACATTATTCTGAGCTGAGGGCTGACATGTGCTGCTTCTAAAAAGGCATCATCATATCCTTTCAAACCAAATGTGATTTATAGCACCAAATACTGCAGCCTGTTTGTTAGATGAGCTCTGGATACACTGAAGCAGGAACTTTGAAGTGTTCTTAACCTAAGATTTCCAGAGGGGGTGAGAAACATTTCACTTTCTGTTAAGTAAAAAAAAAAAAAAAAAAAAAAAAAAAAGATTCTGAACTCTTGCAACACCATAATGGAGCAGAAGTGGCATCCATATGTGAATATGTAAGGTTATATGCACACTGGAAAGGCTTAATAGAACTGCAGTAGCTGAATATACAATTTGCATCTTAGAGACCAGTAAACAGACTGCACTCCTATTGCTGAACAGTAATAAGCTAAACAAAGAATAGAAATATGTGAGCTTTTAAGCTTTTTTTTTTTAATTGAATTGTTAGTCCTCAGATGAATTTGACAGTTACAGTCTTTGCTCATGCTACAGTTTACCCTCTAAGCTTTTGTTACAAATAGAAAATCAGATGAGAATTTACAAGTCACAAGAAATATCCAGATCATCCTTAGATAAGCAGATTTCAACATATTCGTATGGCCCTCTCTGTGGCTAGTTGAATTATTGATTTTTACTTTACTCCTTCTAAGCATAAGTAACAGAAGCTGCAGGAGGCTTGCTACACACTTTTTCAGAGCTGAATTTAGATAAAAGGGCTTTTAAAAATAGTACAATTTAATTTTAGTGCAAGGTCATTGTTTTCTTTTGTGTGTTTGGTATGCTGCAAGTTTAATGGCTGAAGACCAGTCCTCCTAAAACTCACTGTACATCTGAACGGTTCAAGCTGGCATCCCTTCCGTTTCACTTAGACATGCTGCAATAACGTGGTTATATTGTGGACTACAGTGTGGAAATGCTTTCTTCTGCAGCATATTCATTGGCATACATGAGAGAGGGAAATGTCCAAACAGTTGCTATATAATAAGATAGAAGTGGAATTTACTAACAGAACAATTTCGTTACTTCAAGCATGGTCACAGGATGTCAGTATATGTGGAACGCACGCTGGGTGGCTAGCTCACAGAGTTCACAATGCTTAGATCTCAGTCCTGGAGGATTCTGCTTAAGGACAGGCAGGCCTCACTCTGCAGCAGCAGGAAACAATCAGAACACACACCTGCTGGTATGAATATTGGAAAATAAGGACCCCGAAGGGAGCCAGGCCTCACTGCATTGAGAGACAGGCTAGCAATTGCCTCTAGAAAAATGTTAGCCCAGGCAGATGATCCTTTCAAGGATATCACAAACATCACAAGCATTGCTGAAATGAGCTCCCTGAGGAGTCCGCAGGGAGAACATTTGCTGCAGTGCACAGTAGCAAGCAGCTGTGCTGCCAACACGGGACAAGGGATCCAGCTCAGAATACTGATAAATATGTCAACAGCTTTGCCAGCTGAGGAGGAGTTATTCTCCCCAGTAGCATATTTACCACCCTGATTACCACCTGTCTCAGTTATGCTGGCAGAGCTGCACATATGTGCACTCCCTAATCTTCTTCTGTCATAATGACAAGGATTATTACCAAAGACCTCCTATTTAAACTTTCCTACATCATTTTCCCTGGTTGGGAGTGCTGACTGGAGCAGTGTTAAGTCACTTGGGATGGGCTACTGGGAAGGAACCTGTCAGCCCAGCCCACTCTTGGCAGAGTGTCTGTCTAAAGAGCAAATGAACTGTTCTTCCTTCTCCATTAGTAGCACTGTAATTATAATTTGACAAGGCCTTAAATGGCCATGACTTGCTCAAGGGTACTGAAGGATAATTAGAGGCTGTGAGGAAACAGGAACATCTGACACCCTCCATTGGTATCTAGCACTTTTCGAGGAAAGAAAAAAATATCACAAATGGGGATAAATCAACTTTGCCTGACATCTGCTCCCATCTCTGTGAGCAGCAACAAGCGGTTGTGTTGAGATTTCACAATGTGGAGACACTGGACACAGTGCTGGAGCTTATTTGATTGGGGCAAAGATCAACTCACACTTTGGAGAGGGCTGGACATACACACCCTTCTATGTATCTCATGGATAAGGAAAGCAATCCAATGGGCTGCATTTCTTCTCCCTCTAAAGTACCTTCTCCTAGAGGCACTTTAAATCCCTGTGCATGTGCAAACTGTTACATGCTTATTGATATATACCTAGCTCTATTTGATCTCTTCATTTCCTGATGGGAGTCTATGAGTTAGTTTTACTAGGAAACATTGACATTTTGGAATTGGGATAGTGTTTTGATATTGTGTGCAGCATTTAAGGCTTTTTTTTTTTTTAGTTTATTCAAAACCAAATATTAATACATTTCAGATCTAGTTTTCATCTGTAAACTTTTTGAAAAGGTTCCTGTTTGGAAACATATAAGGAGACTACTGCTTTTCTTCTTATTTTTGGCATCTTTGGCCATGACGGGAAGAAAGAACTAATCTATGTTCCGACTGGACAATACAGCTGTTATTTCAAATCAGCAGCTGTACACATATATCACGCAAAGTAGCAGTACCTTTCTTACGTTAGGTACTTGAAACTTGTAGCAAAGTAGCTGCCATATCATGCTGTGAAATTCCTTGTGGGGTGAAAAGCATACATATCTAAAGCAACTGAGGTATCTGCTAAACACTCAAGAAAGTTCTACAAGTTAGGAATGAAAGCTGTATTGTTTGGAAACACTCTTAAGAGGACAGTGAGATCGACCCAAAAACCTTACTGAGAGGAAATTAGGAAAATGTCAATTTATCATAACTTGGAAGAGATAGGATGTGGATATTTTCTTGTTGAAATTTCCTTACCCTGCCATGCACTGACTCATCACAATTGCTCCATTTGTAATATCGAGGAAATGCTCAATCTCACAAGCTTAATTACACTCTTTTAAACTGTAAGACCTTATGTTTTAGACAGAAAGAAAAAATCCAATAGGTGATGCAGGAGAAGAACCCTGAACTAGAACGACATCATCTCTAGGATTTACTGAAATGACTTAGCTGATGGTCATTCCTCTCCTTCTACTGCACAAAAAAATCAGCAGATAGTTCTGGAATGTAATGGCAAACTTCTCAGGATAAGAATTAGACATCAATCTCCATCATCAAGGAAAAATGAAAATTAAATTTTCATGCACTGAACACCATTTTAAAGTCTGCTTTAAGAATTAATTCTGACCAGAAAATACAAAACATACTTCTCATGTGACTATTAAGACTTAATTTTCAGCAATGCAAAATACAGAATAGATTAATACTCAGTTGTCTGGTTACATTTTTGTAATAGTGGAGAAAACAGTAGTTATGGAAGACAATAGAATAATGAATTCCAAGGCACCACAATACTTGTAAAAGAACTAAAACATTTCAAGTTCCTTCTAAAATTTGAGGTTTGTCTGTATTTGGAAGCTAGTCTGCAATGCCTCTTGCAGCCTTTATCTGGAATTATTTATAGTTCTAAGTAATTCTCTTCTAGATTTCTTCCTTCTCCCTCCTTCTCCCTCTCATCACCATGTATTCTAAAAGCCCCACTGCCGAATTTCTATTCTATTGTCATTCCTACAGTTAGACCACATTTCTAGTCTAAGTATTTTTAACCTGATAGCCCAGGCCTTCCCCTGGGCATGCTGCATCATTAATTCGCACTGAACTGCTCAGGCCCATGCCAGATGACTTAAACTTCCCCCCTTTCTTTCTTACCAGCTTCCAGTCTCACTCTCATCACCCCTCAGCTCTGTTGACCATTTATCCAGTGCCAGACTGGCCATATATACCCATACGCATGGTTATATAAATATCTCTATATATTATACTTCAGAATAAATACTCTCTGTTGATCTTTTGTATCCCATAAGTTTGAGTCAGATAGTTTCTTTCACGATGGGGGAAATAAAAATTCTGATGGATGGGGAATGTAATATGGATGAGTTGAGAAAGTCTGCCATATATAGGAGATTTTAGATTTATGTGTATTTAAAGGTGAATTGATAAGAGACTGATTTGAGAATTCAAACTTTATTCAAAAGTCTCATGCCATCATAACATTCTAATATGATAGAATTTTTCTATACTAATTTCTTAAAACATGCAATGTCTTTAAGGGCAAAATTTTGCTCTTAGATACCCCATCCTAATTCTAGATCATGAAACTAGAGCTAATTACTCTCTACAGCCTGCTAATCTTAAGAAAACCGTGGATACAAAACGTGGTAGAAGGAACTCCAGTGTCAGTTAAGGAGAAAATTTTGCCTTCAGGCCAATTACAAAGCTGAAAGGCTCATGCACTGACTTTGCGATGTTTATCAAGATGCAACTAGATGGGGGTGAACTGCAGATAAGGCAAGCTTCTACCGCATTTGGAGGATTTCATTGCTAAATTTACAGTTATCAGTAGAGTAACAATAAGATCAAATACAATACATTGATGCATTGGCATAGTCATCAGTAAAATTACACTGAACATGAAATAGGAAAGCAAAGCTCAAGTGGTCTTGTTATAGTGACTGACTGACTGATACCCTGTCCACGGAAGGTCTGACTTGTACAACTGTGAATGTATTTTCTAACAATCTATAAAACTTTGCCTCTTTTCTGAGAACGTGTCAAATCACAACACTATATTTTGCATAAGAAATATTTCAGGAACTTGATTTTCTTACAGCTCAGCCAATTGTTGAAGACTTTTCCTTGCTAGATCACTTATTGAATCTCATGGTAGGATTGGTAGGAATTTCAAACTAGCCTTATTCTGAAACTGCAATTATGAACCAATTCTGTGCTGATTTGTAATTTGCAAGGTACATAGTGCAAAGGTAAATGCAAAGCAAAGGCTGAGAGGTGAAATACCACTGTAGTGATATATACACTAGAATCCTCCGTGTAAAAGTGTGAATGATCATATAACACAGAAGACAAATCAGGTCCCATATGTCTATACTTCAATGCATTGATAGTTTGTAGCAGTTCACAGTATACAGCTGAGACGAATTCTGTTGCTGGACTTCAGTGGCAACTTTTCACTAAAATGATACCAGTATTTCTTTTCTCTTTTGCTTCAACCTCAGAAGCACATAAGATTTGAATCCTAAAGGCGGCCATGAAAATTACTGCAACATCTCCACTGACAAAATTGATCATTAAAGGGTAAACTGTTCTTGAAGCAAATTTTCCGGGTTTGTCTTCCGAGGTTTTCACAACCTATTTCTGTTTAAGATGTTCTGCACAGAAAGAGGAGGAAAGGTTACTGCTACCTTATTCTCTGTTAATACACTAGTTTAAAAATTTAGACTTCCTTCATAAGAACACAAAATTCACCCTAAGGATTTGCCAAGTGATTTCAAATCAGGATAAAAAACAAAAGTCAAACTATAGAAAATGAAAATAAATAGCCATGGCTACGTAGATTATCTTACTATAAGTGTTTATTTCTCTATTCCTTTTTCCTAGAACATTAAAACCTCAGTTTAGTGAAGCACACACTTTGCTGTGTTGTTATGTGATTAATGGCCACAGTGAAAACCAAGAAAGTTCTTCCTGAATGAATGTCCAGAGCCAAGATCTTTTGCTCACAGGACCCGCACTGACTGGTTTTGGAACACACACATGCCATGTGAATAGCAGATGCTGAATGTCATTTATATATACAGACAGCACCTCTCAAGGCTTAGCCAAACAATGCTACTGAGGTTTGCTATGCTCTAGTTTTAAATTAGATCTTACCCATTTCTCCCCAGAAGAAAGGGTTGATTCCACCTGTTGTACAATTGTACACCAACATGTTTTTTGGTCTGGAAAAAAAAAAGAAAGACGTGTATTTTTTTAATGTGGGAGGGAAAGCACCCAAAGTTTTATTAATGGACCATGAAAGCTAACAGCCCAAGAAATAACTAACATCAGATCATAAAAAAATTTCATGTGTTCATTTTTCATAAATATGAAACTGTAATATAAAACATCAAGTTCAAATAAAATTCAGTCAGATTCTGGAAAGCACATGAAGTTAATAAAGACAGTTGAGGCTTGAGATGAATTATCTATACATCATTTATCGAAAAACATAAAAATTAGGAAATTGTGCATACTGGCAAGTTTCTGAGTATCTTTTGGTATATTGTAAATAACTGGCCCAAGCCAGTCTCAGGGATGCACTATGTATTTTGCAATCATTAACTTAACAGATATATTTTTTGCTAATTTTAACTCCATTTGCCAGGAGTGAATAATTAATCAATCCATTTAAACAAAATTCTCATTTTAATACAGCATAAAGCCTTGTTGCTCTTTGGGCCTGGAACTAAACATATACTAGTCTGTTTCTTCCTTTGATGTAAGACATGAATTGGTAAAACATCTTCTAAATTTGTCTTGTAAAGAGGGCAGGTGATGGCATCAGTAGACTTTTTTTTTCACTCATTTATAGTTTGAGACAAAAATCCTAAAAGAGGTGAGAACTGACCCTGAAGAGGATATAGTAGCTTGGTTGGAGGATGCAGACTCTCCGTGTTTCTAGACTATTTGTGGTGCTCTGGGCCTCCTTTCCACATTGGATGAGGTTGAGCAGAGGGAATCTTTCTTTTCAAAACTATGGTGACTGGAGATACAAGGAGAGAGAACCCCTCAAACCAGGAAAGGTAGATTTTGCATGGTAATACTCCACTACTGCATTTGGATGATGCAGTTTTTACCTTTTTTTTTTTTTTTTAATAATGCTTTGAAAACATGGTATTCTGTAGTAAATTATTATTAATTATACATCTTTAGCAGACTTTTAGGGGAGATAAAGACTAAAAGATACGAATTAAGATTGGCAACCATGATGTGTAATTTTGAATCATTGAGTAGATTCTTGATAATGTGTCAAACATTGTAGTGCTTACCTGTCACAGGAAACCTTGTATTACAGAAGTCAATATGGGAAGTCACTGAGGAGGCATAACAGCATGGCCATAATAGGCAGCCATACAGGAAAGTAGCCTAGTGTCAAGCCACATGCAAAGCCTGCTGCAAATGCACCAAAGTGAAAGTAGAGACTTCTGCCTACTCGAGTAAGTCAGGCCCATTAAACTCCAATAAACAGGTTTTATGCAGCTTCCAAAAAAGACTATATATCTGGTGACATTTTTTTTTTCCACTCTTCAGGTTAGGTCAGTGATCTTGCAATACTGGTTGAGCTTCTACACTATTTAATGAATTTTGCATTTCTCTGATAAAGTTTAGAATCTATTTCTTCTCGATAATGTCACTTGCCCTGTAGGATACTGACCTTCTAATTAGACAACACACACTGTTCTTCAAGAAAGAATCTAATCCTGAAACTCTTTCACACAAATGTAATTTGCAGAGGGCTCAGGTTCTTCATTTTTGTATAGAAATTACCAACCTTGGGGTTTTGCCCAGCCACATAAAGTTTAAATCAAGTTCTATATTTGTTCCTTTAACATTACAATTATTTATATGGGAACTAGACTAAAAACATGCATCTTCTACAAAAAAGACTTAGGAAATACAACACTTCTCCTACCATAGCTGGAGCCCGGAATTCTACACATGGTGCTGACTACTGTCTGTTATGCACTTTTGGCCTCTTCTGTCTTTCTAGGGCAGACTGTAGCCCACGTACACTGGCGACTCTACTGGGGGTGGAGGAAGGGAAGGAAGCGGTCAGGGAGAGGCTGCATTTATTTTTCTCAGAAGCATAACAGTCTGTGCTACCTTGTCTATTGCTAATGAATGGGAAAGAAACTATGAGAAAAATAATTCTGAAGAGAAGGTGAGCTGCCTTTTAAGTTTCTTTTAGGAACCCTGTGTTCAAGTTACTATATGTAGCATTTCCTACAAAACAATTAAAGGTCAACACCAGAAGCACATGTGAAAAAGATATTAAATCCTTAGTATCAGTTACAGGTACTCTTCTTAACAAAGTAACAAATGGAGTTTTTAGATTGCCTCCCCTACCAAACAATCCCACATATATGTATATCATACAATGCTTCCAAGAAAGTCACCCAGAGAATCTTTACCAGGAAAACCCAGAAGCCAGCTGCAAAGTGACTCAACACAGCTGTCTGAGATGAAGCTCCTGAGAAGAGACAGTAAGCTGTTAAGTTCTTAGACTTCAGAAATAAAATTTTTGAGAGACTTGTTAATTGAGCTTAAACTATATGGAGGCACAGGTATCATCTACAGCTTTAGAGATTTCCTTATTCTCAAAAGTCTGTCTTTATTACTTTTACTACTCCAAGTCGTGCCAGCCTTAGAATTTAAATGAGAGTCAAGCAACAAGCTAAGATCTCATGTAGGTATTTGACTAGCTTATGTCCTGGTTCCTTTCACAGTCCAGATAAAATCATAACATGGCCTAGTCTAGCAAAAAGAGGATTGCCTTCCCACCTGTGCACGGCAGTGTACCACCCGGCCGCAAGGGTGAGGTTGATGACAACATCTACTGGAATCATGTCTGCCACTGCTTCATTATTGGCAATGACGGATCGCAGGATCCCTTTACCTGCCTGCATGAGAAAGGAAAAAAGTCACTGACAGCAAGGACACAGTAAGATTTCTTCATCTTTGAGTGAGGAGAAACTTTTACTTTAGTACTTTCTAAGCCTGGCATCTGCTGTAGAACATTGTTTTGTTTCTGTGACAACAGACATGAATCTCATTTAGAGTGCTCTGTTCTGTATTTTCAGGATAATTTTAAACACACCTGTCACTTCTCTGAATTTTTATCTGTTAGGTGCAAAAAGACAGACAAGATGTGTCCCTGCCCTTGCTGCTGCTACCTTGCTGCTTGGTTTAAAACAAAACTCAGATGATGATGAGTGAAAATACATAGTATTGAGAACAAAAAAGGAAAGGAGGGAAGAACATTAAGTGAATTTGTCATGGGTCATGCTCCAGAAATATACACACACACACACACACACACACACACACACACATTTTATTTATATATATAATATATAATATATATATATATACGTATGTGTATAGACTTCAATCTTCATCAAAGGATTTCCATGATCATGTTTGGAAGTCCTATAGCACAGGAATGTCTGGGAGAAGCTTAAAAGAACAGATATCAGGAACATGGCAGATTTGATTACACGAAATACAGAGATTGGAGATGAACTGGGAGAAAGAAAATAAATGTGTCAGGACTGTAGAGAACAAATAAATAAGAAGCTCCAAAAGTACAGCAGAGGTGCAACTAAACTAAACAGTCCACAGGATATAAAATATACAGGATATAAGATGCCATAAATCTGAGTTGGATGAAGAAGACGAGAACCCAGTGAGTAAGGGAGTCCCACTTCTTATTGACTTAATTTTCATGAGCTGGTTCAGCCTAGTAGAAAGATTGAAATAAAGGTGAGTAGCAGTTCTCTTAAACCTGTGTCATGAAAATTGATCTTTGCTGACTTATTTTAGAACTGACATACTATTTAAGCACACAACCTCTAACTTTTAATATCACTATGAATTCACAGAATCATAGAATCACAGAATGATTAAGGTTGGAAGGGACCTTTGGAGATCATCTAGTCCAACTTCCCCTGCACAAGCAGGGACACCTAGAACAATTCTTATTCTTCCCTCCACTTTGTGGGGGAAAAAAAAAAGAAAAAAATCAAAACAAAACAAATCAAGCAATTAAAAGGAACCAAAGCAGCCAACCAAGCTCAACTGTGAATTTTCAGCTTCTGTAAATAAGTGCCCACTACAGACCATTGTCTGATCAACAACTGCATTTTCATGAGTGCCCTAAATTACTTTTTGAGGCCAGATTTAAAAATGGAATGTCTGATGGATGTGCTGCAAACCCCCTTGTACTCAGAACAAAATGTGATTGTCATTCACAACTGAACCATAATCAAATAAAAACTAAATATTGTGCATTTAATAGACATTTCAGGTTTAAATGTGGTAAATTATGTCCTGCAAGTTTTGGTATTTCTTTACTGGGTATGGTTTGACCTTTATTTGTATTTGTTGACTTTATTCTCTTAGATGAAGTAGAAGCAACTGTAGCTGAACTCTCTGAGATTTTGAGTCTGACATTTTCAGACAGCATCCTAGATGAAGAGCTCTGGGGCCAGTTACTGAGGCCAGAACATGAACTAAACCATGGTTCTGCCTGAAAGCAGCTGAGCATTGCCTTGCAGGGAAGAAGGTCTTTATATTTAATGTGGATCTGTGAGACAAAATGCCTCAATTACAGCCCAGAAGAAATGTTATTTTCTTTTTCAATCAGCAAATAATGCTTTTCCCCTCAGCAGCTGAAGCAACCACAATTCCCAGTTTTTAATGAATATTTGAGAGATCTGTATTTGTGGAAAAAATGATCAGCCTCAAATAATTACTGTGGAACAATTTTTACAAGTATTGCCGTTCAGATTCTGCCTGGATGAACCTCAAAATACCTGAACCAAAATTGAATTTGAGAATTGTTTTCCATAAAGAATGATTTTTGGTTAAAAGCTGAAAGTGAGGATTTTAGTATGGGAAGGCTTCCCCTCTGCTTTCTCCATCTTTAATTAAGACTAATAAAGCTACTTTCTAGTAGTAAATATACTAGTAAATATGCTTTTCAAGTATAGTTGACCCAGACATCTATTTTTAATCCAACATGTTCCAGAAAAACAAACTAACCTGTAACTCAGATGTTTGTGGGTTATTTTTTGAACCACCACAAAGAAATTACCATTACACCATATCTAAGCACCTTAACTCAGAACAAGTATGCTATTTCAGCTCAGGAGATTAGAAGTCTCTTAGGCTTGGTAATAATATATGTTTCACTTTCAGAAAACTAGTACCAGTCCAAGTAAGTTTGGCAGCAACTGGTAAATGGTGGTAGACAAATATTATCTGCTACATTCAGGGAAGTCAGGAATTTCTACTGGGAAGATCAAAAAAAGGTAGTTACTTTTCTGAGTTGCAAAGGTGAAATTTATAAAATATACTTGTGTGCTTTTTGAAAAAAAAAGACTGTAATGTATGACAAAATTTCCAAATGCTTAGTCATTAAGTGTTTTTCACTTGCTGACAGTAAAAGAGAGAGAGAAAGAGAGAGAAAGAGAGAAAAAGAGAGAGAAAAAAAGGAGATGGAAAAATGTTTTTTACATGACAAAAGATTTGATTGGCATGCTTTTATATGAAGATGCTTAGGCTTGGCCCTGTGTTTCATAATGTACTGACCTATGATCTGTGTATGACAACTAACTGCTGTAATTTATTACTTAGGTAACTCACTGACAGAGAACAAAAAGCAATGCAATGAAACCTTTTTTCATAATATGCTTTTTTTTCCCAGGCTTGACATACTTTTGTCATGGACGATTTTTTAATGCTGAAGAATAATCATAAAAAGTCAAAACTCACAGATATTTCTACACAGTTCAGTGCCTGTCACATGAAAATGTAAACAGTGGCTCTGGAAATGTAAGGAATTGTAAAATTTCTCCGTCTTGTGGTGATATCAAGATGTGAAACAACATTAAGAACAGTACAAGACACCAAGCCTAATGCGAAGAGGTGCAGTACAAGCTTTACGAGCATGTTGATCATAGAGGAAAAAAGTTGGAAGCTAAAAATTGTTTTAGATAAACTGTGAGAAAAATAGTTCACATGTTGTGAACACAAATTACATGTTTGGGCTTTTTGAACCTTTGTGAAATGTATAACTGGGGTTTTCAATAAAAGGATTAGCTGGGATACACCCACCAATTTACCTGTGGATTCCAGAGGTAACTGTTACAGCTTCTATTTATACTTTACTTAAGTTGTAAGTGAGCTTTTTAAATAAGATAAGCTCTGAATTTTATTCTGCTCTTCCATGATTTCAGATTGCTAATCTTGTTATACACCACAGCAGGCTCATTGTTTTGGTTGGACGGGTCGGGTTGGCAAAGCATAACTGAACAAAAATACTCGTCCATAGGTACACCTCATAACACACTAATAGGATTAAAGCAGTGATTGTAGCTCAGAAATAAATATTAACATGGAGAAAGAGTACAGAGCATTACTGTTTGCAATGCTAGATTGCAATTAATGATATAATTTCACAGTAAAACTTTTTCTCAAGAGACTCAGTTATCTTACGAGTTTGTTCTTTATTACTTTACTCAGCAGTTTTTCACACCAGTGCTAAGCATGAATATAATGAATCATCCACATGACTGGAGGAGTCTGAATGGATAGTTAATACTATCTGATTGTATTCTGTACAGGGAGAATTACTGTACAGGACATGGGGAATGAGACCAGAATATTTATTATTGATGAGTTGTCATAAACTGTTCTACAGTGAACATAACAAAAATACATATAAAGATAAATGAAAGCACAATGAACACACTTCATCCCCACAGAGTTATTATATGGTTAATCAGACAAGTACTCTCAGGACTTCACAGAAAAAAAAAATATATGATCCATCCCAGGGTTCAGTGCAGGACTTCCTCCAAAATCATATTCCTGGTTGCCTTACTTCATCCAGCCACCAGAATAATTCTCTCTTAAGATCTAAGTGGTCTCCTGAAAAGTAGGGGACCTTGAAGAAAACTACAGTAATTTAATTAAAAACTATAATGGAATGCTTATGGAGCAGAGTGTAAACAGGATTTTAAGCACTATCTTAATTCTAGTATCCTGAGATTTTAGGAGAGATGTTGATTTGCATCATGAATACTTGTTCAGTATCTTTTTTTGAATGCAGCATAAACATCCTGTAAGGTGCATATAGATGCAGGCATATAGATGTATAGATATCACACAAGTGTGTGATACCTCTTTTTACCAGACTGATAAAACCGCTGTGATCCCTTTTTCTCCACACAGTTTCTAAGTGGGGCTTAAATAGGAACTCTAGAGCTACTCTATAGTAGCTTTTAACTCCCTTTTAAGTACATTTTAAATAGTAACTACACGTACTGCAACAAAGATTCCACTTGTCCCATTGAAGCTGTCAATCCAACCCTGCAAAAAAGAAAAAAAAACCCCATTACTCTTTCAGTAATATGTTGCTTACACGGACTCCACAAGGGTGAAAGGGCTTTAATGCTATGGTATAGATGAAGAAGCAAAGAAACAACAGCTAAGAAGGGTGCCAGCCTTTTTGGGACAATAGTCAGAAAACAACAAAAATACAAAGTGTTTAACTGATTTTAAAAAGAGGTTGCCTTGTATGACACCTCATATTGCCTGTTATTTGCTTATTAACAATAGAGTCAACATTCTTTTAGGAAAATTACTACATGAATAAATTCTGGCTTTAAAAACACTGAAAAATGCTATCTTGGTACTGTCACATTTGCTGGAAACAGTGGTATATATCCGCTGTACACAATGTGGAATATATCCACTGACCTACAATGTATAAATGTCACTAAGACTGATTTGATTACTCCAGCTATTTTCTATGGCAAGGAAGAGAAGAATACCATTCTTGACTTTTGAATCCACCCTACTTCAGGTTGGGGAAACTGCCTCTTATGGGAGTTAGTATTAAAAGCAATCATGAGCAGGCTGACCTGAAAAAGTTTTATGACACTGAACATAATTTACTCTGTCTTTCTGAGACTGTGAGTTTGCCCATAGCTTCAGCTCTATCTCAGACATCTTTGGCACGTTTCAAGTTGCTCAAAAGGCAAAGGTGAGTTTATCTTGTCTTTTAAGTTTGGCTGCAGTACCAAATTATTACTACTAGAATATTTAACCTAGCAAATTATTTTAGTCCAAAAGCACAGCTGGATTTAATTCCATGGATAACACATTCGTATCCACAGAAGTCCCATATAAGTGTGCATCCAGTGAATTCAATAACTTAGGAATATAAGGCAAAGACTAATGTAATTAGTATAAGCCAAAGACTAAGGCAATTGCACATGACACTATCAAGAGACCATATGAGGTCCAGGCTGCTCTTCAGTACTTAATAGCTCAGCTAGAACTAGATTTTTCTGTTCTGTGCAGATACAGGTCCTCCTCACCTTTCCCACTTTCCTTCCTATAAACTGAGGCCACTGTTTCTCAAGCAAACCCTGCTGCCAGTAGTGCCAGCCTCTTGGAAGCACAGCAACTGCAACTCTATCAAAATGCTCTCAATAGGGAACTGTTGTAGAAAGAAAAGCAATTGTGCTTACTGGGAAAGGCTCATGCCAGCTGGCTCCCACAATGGATGGCCTGATGATAGCAATGTTCAAGTTTCCTTTTTCTTGCTGAATCAGGTATTCTGACAAGGCTTTGGTGTAGGTATAGGTGTTAGGCCAGTCCCCAAGTAGCTTGGGTGTGATGTCTTGAATAATAGATTCATCCAACCACCTAACGAAGGCAAAAAGGAGACTATCAGTATCATCTGCCACACAGAGAGAGAACTGAGGCAAAAACAAACACAACAAAAAAGAAGCAGGGAGATAAGAATCCTCATCTGAAACAAAGGATGCACAACTCAAAGCCATTCAAGACAAAGCAAGGAGTAACTGATTTGGATTTGTCTGTAACAGCTATATGGGAGACAGGAGAAAACAAATAACCTAGGAAATGCAAAATAACTCCCTGTGAGTTCCACAGTATAATGGATAGCTTAATTACAGGTATCTATGCTATGTTACTGTAAAGGAGATCTCTGTAGTGTCTTAAGCTTCACTTCAATCTATAGATAAGCCATGGTCTACATGGTCTGATGGAGCTTTCCAAAATTGAACTCTTCCTCCCTCATCCCTAGTCAAAACAGCCTGTGCATACTTCCTACTGCATTTCCAGAAAATTTTTAGGAACCTGAGTTACCCTTCTGAGTAGTATATAAAAGTTAAAAAAGGTAAAAGCAGTAATTAGTGTGATATTCGAGTTGCTGATTATAAAGACCCTTACAAGAACACTTTATCTACAGTGTCCTCGATAAACCTACTAGTTTCTAGGTAAATAATGATACAAGTTTCTACTTTAATCACACAAACAGCACAGCTTAAGAGAGGTCTGTGCAGTGTTCATGGTTCTTTCTGAAAAAAAAACATGCCTTGTGCACTTGATAGTTCATCTATGGAAACATATCCTTTGTTCATACAAGGAAAGCTGATTTTGTTTGGGCACTAGACACTGGTCTAAGAAATGTAAGAAAGATATACCTTTCTACTGAATTTCTTCTACCTTGTTCCCATAGAAAATTAGGAAACTATCAGTGTTAGCTGCTAAGAAAAGACTGAGTCTTTTTCTGAGGTGTGGAAGTATCTAATGGATGTTGATACCTATTAGAAATAGGTACCTATATAACTTTAAAAACATCACCCTTGCCACTTTGGTGCTGCAGTGAAGGTCTAAGTCTTGAAGTCTGCCCTGGCAAACAAGAAATACTTCAGTGGCCCTGCCAGCACTTAGACCTGAAGAAAGGGAACTGGCTGTACTTCCAGAGCCCTTGCACACTGTTGCCAATTCAGGACAGGCTTTCAACAGTCTGATGTTACACCACTGAATCAAAGATTAACTCCTTATAATCCAATTTGTAATGAAGTCAATGGACTTACAGGTCAGACTGAATAGGCTTGTTCTTCTCAGGGATGTTCCAAGGATACTGTTTCCTATTAATCCTCAGTTCACCTCCTGTCATCTTGAATTTTAGAAATAGGCCAAGGGCAGGAGGAGAAGAATAAGGTCAAGACTGTCAGAGTTTTGGAACTATTTGATGAAATCAAATTAAAAGCACAAACACCTGGTCATTCAGGTGCCACATTGCTTCTCTGATGCCTCTGACTAAAGGTGGCTGGAAATATTCTTCGAAAAGAGTCATATGAAAAACACTGATTCATTGACACTCACCATGTTTAGTGGGAAAGAGTTGATTTTAGTGAAGCTCTCAGTTTCTAAACTATTTTGTTTTTAAATCTGAGAATCTTTGCTATACAGAAATCAAAATTTAAAAAGAACTAAAAAAATAGCTTTACTCAGGCAAAATAATTTTCTTTGCAACATAAGACCCATGTTTCAGACACAAGGCAAAAAAGTGTTTGCGTAAACCACAAAGTTGAACTATACAGACGTCAGTCAGATATTTGGAACTTGGACATTACAGAACTCAGACACAACAGTTAAACAGCTAAACTGCCCTTAATTAACAACCTATCAAAAGGAGATATCTATTTCTTTGGAGCTTGGGCAAAGACTACACTGATTGAGGAATTCAGATTCAGTGCATGCAAGTTTTTTTTTTTTTTTCTCCTTCTATTTTTTTAAATATAGCTCACAGATTAGCGTTTCTTACAAAGCAAAGAGGAGTGTAGAATTACAAGTAAAAGAAATTCCTCCATTCCCTTATCTTCTAGATAGGCCTTTATTTATGTTTCAATGGGCATCAACAGGAACAAGCTCCAACCTCAACAGTACCCTGCTACCAGGTTGTTTGACTTACCCATATTACCATCTTGGAAGTAACGAACTGACAAATCAGCAAGGCAAAGTTTCTACTCCTCTACATTTTCTATGACCTACTTTGAAGACTCTTCAAATGCTAAATCATAAAGCAACTGCTTTTGCTCACAGCTGCCACTGTCCTATAAGAAAAAGATGCAAATTACACAGCCCTAACCCCCTCCATACATCACATGTATGCACTAAATATTTTATCCCAAGAAAATATATTTTTTCTATGTTTACAATTTCTATTAATAAGACATGCTCTTTTCTATAAATGATTACCAACCTTCTACATATTCTGTAATAAAATAGCTAGTTCTGCTGCAACCCCCACTGTACTGTGTGCTCTGTTCCTTACCTCAGCACACCCTTCAAAGCTGATTTCCCTCAGCTTTAGATTAAAGCAAACCTCACTTAATATGACAGATTATATGTTTCCTCTACTGGCTTGGCAGCACTTAGAAGCGCAGCTTTTGGTTTACACCAATTAAGCCAAAAGCTTTAGTTGCAGGTAAGAATCAAAACACTTGAAAGCAGAGATAGATAGGAGGGGAAAAAAAAGAGAGACAGAAAGAAATAGCTGGGAATTCCATGTGCTTTAAACTGGAAAGAATCATAAGTATATGTATCAATTGTGTGGCTAAATGAACCGTTAAACTGGTCTCTTATTTAGCTTCTGAGTTAATTTCTTTTAATGCATTTCTAGAAATTTTCTAGTTAAAAAGAGTTTTGTGAGGCATTAACCCTATAAAAAAACACTAGCAGCAGATGAAGCCAGACAAATGACACAATAAAACACATAAGCCTGCACAGCCCATTTCAGTTTTGCCAGCCCCGATTGCTATCTGAGAGAAGGTTTTGAACAGCAGATGCATAGCCACGTTAGATGGCAGCCTCAGTTTTCGATTTATAAAAGAACACTCTAAGTGCTGTTTGCCATACAAATGAAAGCTGACTGGTGCAAAATTTGACCTATATTTCTTCTTCTTTTTTGAAAAAGTCTTTATATATCTTTTCACATTTTTTTGCCCTTCTTGAAGGTAACATCCTAGCAGAGTGCATACTGTGACTTCTATCTCATTGAAAGTACCAATAGGATGTAAGAAAAACAAAAACAATTTGAAAATGCATGCAAAAAAACTCCAACAAAATATCTAATTATTTGACTAAGAAAAAACATTGAATAACATTTCTGGAAGTCCATCTTCTGTGACTCAACCTTTCCTTTATACTTCATTCTCTCTGCTGTACATTCATATTATGATACATGAATTCTTTTTGTATTATATGAAGCAATAGAATTTGCAATGTCTGCAGTAGCCAGTCACGTTGCATGTTGCTGATTAGCACTCATTTCTTTGCTGAACTGTCTTTATCTGAGCCATTAGCCTTAATCATTTCTAAATTTGAAGATGATGCTAAGCTCTTTTGGACAATTAAATGTAATATTGATTGTGATGAACTCTAGGGCACATCATTTGCCAGTGAACAAAAAGACAGCAGATAAGTTTCATTATAGATACATTTAAGGTCACATTTATAGGAAAGATAGTCCACCATGGGCTTAAAGATTGCTGAACTGGCACTTACAACTGAGTAAGAGATGTTAGAATCATGGCAGACAGCTCCATGAAATCAGCAGTTCAACATGCATGCTATTAGAAAAACAAACAGAAACAAAGCTATAGCTATTGGCAAATCTAGTTCTTGTAAGAGGAAGATTTTCTTGGGGCTTTTGTCAGTAGATTTTTCTATTCTTTCTTATTATTCTGCATTTCAGAAAATTCCGTTAAACAAGGCTGTTTGCTGTTCTACTGTGGCCTGAATGCTCCCACTGAATGGTGGTTGTGTGAACACAGTGTGAACAGTCAGTCATGGAAAGTAACTATTAGTCAGCAGCTCCAGCGGCAGTCCTTGAAAGGTGAGCCTCTCCTGGAAAGCTTTTCTAAAACTTTTAGAGTTTTTTCTAAAATATGTTCCTGGTTCAGCATCTCATATAATTGTGGTTTGATTCTTCACAGTTGTTGAAACAATTGGAACCAATGTTGGGAAGTTGGAGAGATAAAGAAGTAAATATGAAAAAACCCAGTCTTTACCATGGTAAAAACAGAACGGACTCTTACAGAAAGAAGCAGCACAACTCCAATTCTGGGAGCAAACACACTTACGTAAAATTTACTGTGGGTTGACTCAATATTGGACTCTCAAAAATTACACAGTTATTTTAGAACTTGTGTGTGGAAAAAAATAGTGGCAGCTGGTATCACAGTGTTATTATATATAACTTATGTTTGTAATTCTGTGTTTGGAAAAAATATTGTTAAGATCAACCAAATGATTGTCAAATGTACCTTCAGCAACTCTCCAGATAAAAAAGATTCCAAAAAAGTGTTTCTATTTCTTCAACTTTTAGAAAACTTCAGTAAAGCTACTTTCAAGAGAAAATCCACCTATGCCAGACATAGTGCATGAAATTACCTGTGAAGTAAACCTCAGAACAAACTAGAATGAAAGCGCTCTCTTCTCTTGGTCTCCCTTTCACCATGGCCAGCTAGTGTGTGTGTGTGTATGTGTGTGTGTGTGTGTGTGTGTGCATACAAAGCAATAAAATAACAACAGTAGTGTGAAAGGAAATAGCATAATAGAGATTAAGTGAATAATTCTGTCAGAGGTTGTCTGCAAAATGAGGCAAAACCTATGTCAGAACAAGCTATCCTGTTCCAACTCACTCTACTAAATCGAAGAGCTTCTTGGGCTCAGCAGGAGGTGGGTAGATGACTTCATCTATGCGCTTCCGTACACAGTTAGCATAGGCCGTGGAGATATGGATGAATGCCTCAAGCTTCTGCATCTGCCGGGCCAGCTCTAGAAGTCGCTGTGTGCCCATCGCATTCAGCTGCAGGGCATGTCTAAAGAGAGCAGTAGAAAGAAAAAAAAAGTATATAAGTATATATCTAACCCCCTAACAACTTCCTTAACTACCTTAAAAATAATGAAAAGGCAAGTAAGGGAAAGGAAGGAGTTGCAACAAAGAGGAAATTTTCCATGAAATGCAAAGGCAAAAATTATTTTCAGAGCAATGACACAAGTTCCACTCTCTTTTCAACAGAATGCAACTTGGATATTTTTCATCAGCTCCAGGGACTGGAGGTAACATTTTGCTAGTGGCATATTTGCCATCTTCTCCTGATACAAATAATTCCAACGCATTCGACTACTGTGGCATTATGGTTCCTATAATCCCCATTTGACAGTCTCCTTAAGGTCTAAACCAGAGACATATGGTTTCAGAAGACAGCAAAGGGGCTTTTGCTCAGAAATACATATATTAAAAAGAGCTGCAATAGAGATGAAAGTCCAAATTTTTCTAAGAAATGAGAGTGATAAGAGGGAGAGGAAAATGAGTCTTGGTTAGCAAGGTCAACCTTGAAGCATCTTGCATAGTTAGGGATGTTCCAGGGATTAACTGCAATGAAGCTCAGTAAGGAGAGGTTCATTGAATTGAATTCAGTGAAAGACACTTTCCTCTCTGCAAAGGAAAAAGCCTAAGGAAGATGCAATCTGTTCAGTCTAGAAATAGAATCTTTCCACAACATACTCAAGATTATTAAAAATGCTTTCTTGTACAGTATATGCTAAAGAAATCAATTATAGCACTGCAGATTTCATTATGTGAAGAGAAACTGTATTTAGTCCAAATAAATGAAAACAAATAAAAAGAGTATGCCTAAGGTTTGGACACTGACAGAGACTTTCATTTTTTTTCGTACGTTTGTGGAATAGTTTTTTGATTTTTTGGATTTTTATTTCCTTCTTGTTTGTCCTTCTTGCAAAAGGACTATTTCTATCTTACGTTCTCCTCACATGAAAAGATATATGCTCTGTGAACATCTCTTTTTCACTGAGTTCCTTCTGAGATGGATGCACACAACTGCACTCAGAACATTCTGAGTTCCTTCAGATTTTCAGGGTCAGGGTCAGATATCATCTGATCCTATTGATTTGTTATTCTTCATTTTTGCATTTATATTAAAAATTGCATCTATTAACATTCTATTGCAGCACATTTTCTTAGATTTCTCCCCCACAAGAGCTCCATCCATAGAATTCTCAAAGCGTGCTGCACACCGATGCCAAATCATCTACTTTCTCTATTACTGCTTTTCATGTATCTTCGCAGTACTGTTTTTATACCTCAGCTGTCTACAGATTCTGTGGCAGGCTTTACACTTCTGATATGTTTAAAAAATGAGTTTTTGTGTCTTTAGTAAGATGTTGCTCAAATTTTTTTTGAGCTGCTTTCACATTTAACTTGCTAACATTTTTGTTCTTAATTACCTACCTTACCCTTCTTTACCCTTCTTTACCCTTTACTTACTTTACCCTTCTAAAGGCAATATTTTGAAGGGCAGAACATTTAATCTAACTAGTTCTTATTCTTTGCTGTTTCAATATGCTCAATTTTTGCTGTTCCAAAGATTTTCATAGATTTTTGGGAGATTTTGATAGATAACATGTAATCAGCCTTCAAACAGACTCCGTAGCAGATAAAAAAATAGACTTTCCGCAAGCAGATAAGAATTTAAATCATTTCTTCTAACAAATTTCCTTATTTTAAATGTAGATTCTCTTAGATGTCACTGTAGTATATTTTCATAGTATAGTTGTTCCTATATTGATTTAAGAATTTTTACAGTTACTAAAGCATATGTAAGTCCACAGTCTATATACAAGTCCTGATTAAATCAAGGGCTGGTACTCTTCTTACGGGTTCTCTACTCAGTTCTTGTAAGAGGAATTGTTTATGGTGGACACAGCAGATAACTATTTAACCAGGGTCAAATAAACATTGTGATTATTAATTGTGTGTTTTTCAAAGATTGTCAAGATCTGGCAATCAAAATAATCCATTTTGGTTTTTAGATATTAAGCATTTGCATAAAAGTGCTTACACAATTGGTCTTGGTTAAGTTGCTTATTTCTATTATTCTTTCTTAGCAGAACATCTACCTGCACAGGCACTTCTCAAATGAGTGCCTTCAGAAAATGATCATTTATTTTAACAGTTAATAATACCGAATCTTAGGTTCCTTAAAACCCTTGACAGTCTATTTGCCTAAAAAATATCTCATTTCTTGCTTCAGCTACATAGAGCGATAAAGGCCATTAAGAAAAGCTTTAGAGTCAGACATAACACAGTTCCACTTCAAGCAGTTTTTGACTAGTTTTGCCAAAGCATTTCCTTCTTGACCTACAGCACACTCTTTCCTGTCCCAGTTTTAGGTCACTCTTAGTACAGTAGAACCCAAGACTGCAGTACTTCTGCTCCCACGTATCTCTGCCAAAATACTTCACTTTTGACGTACATATGCACATATTTTCAGGGCACTTGCACTGCAAATTCAATCAAGAAGAATTTGGAAATGGCAAACTTATTGCGCTCATGCACTAAATGAGGTGCTCTGAATAACATTCTGGACCGCGTAAGTGAGATCCAGTGAGGAAGTGAATGATACTTATCAAATACAAAGAGCAGAGAAAGGGGAACATACTTCAGGGGTTCATCAAAGCGAACTGTTGCAGCACAGTGGAAGACAATATTGATGTGGGTTAGGAGCTCCTCCTCATCTTCAGCGCTGATGGCCAGCTTGGGCTGAGTGAGTTCAGCATTAATAGGCTTAATCTTCTCGTGGAAATTAGGGCAATCTTCTCGTACTCTGTCAAAGACCTTGAAGCACAAACAAACAGAGATCAGGTACAGAATTAGGCTACCAAGATCGCTCTGATTAGCAGCCAGTCTGATTACATCAGCCAACAAAATTATCGGGAAAGAGAATGACTGGTACCTTTGGAGAGGACAGACAGGTGAAATGATAAAATATTTAATCTGCTTTTTCCCTCCCATGGCAAAACCTCACGAGGAAACAGAACAGAAATCTAATATAAGGTAATGCATTGCCTTAATACAATATAAGTTAATGCACCGCCTAAAAAATGAACCAGAGGCTTCTAAACACCCCTCATTTCCAGAATGAGGTTAGACAAGAAACTTCCTGTAACTCCATACTTCTCCTATATCCTCTTTTATGTGCCCTTGGCTGCTTACACGACTACAAAGGTAGGAATAGAGGAGAAGGGCAGAGTATGAAATGGGTAAGTTTTATCAGACTTATTTTTATTTTTATTTTTTTGGTTAGAGGAGGGGAACAGAATGCCTTCTGGCACCTCTTCATTTGCTGTCACTTGATTGTCTCTTTTAGTGACATCTAAGATGAGTCCTATGCATAACCATCTTTGAGACAGAAACATGGGGAATCTCAAGAGCATTTACTAGTAATACCATCACCTGCAGTTTTGTATGACTGGACCACTCAACTGCTCTCTCAACTGCTTTTGCCAGCCTGTTTTTCTATGATGATCATAGAATCATTATGGTTGGAAAGCATCTTCAGGATCATGTTGTTCAGCCATAAACCCTTCACCACTGTGCCTGCTAAATCATGTCCCTGATTGCCTCATCTACACATTTCTTGAACATTGCCAGGGATGGTGACTCCACCACTCCATTGGACAACCTGGCCCAACGCTTCACCACTCCTCTGGGTAGAAAAATTTCCTAATATCTAACCTGAACCTCCCCTAGGACAACTTGAGCCCATTTCTTTTTGTCATTTTGACAGTTATTTTGGAGAAGAGATCAAACCCTGCCTCACTATAACCTCCTTCCAGGTAGTTGTAGACAGCAATAGCATATTCCCTGAGCTTCCTCTTCTCCAGACTAAATAACCCCAGCTCCCTTAGCTGCTCCTCATAAGGTCTGTGCTCCAGCCCCTTCACCAGCTTTGCTGCCGTTTGGAGCTGTTCCAACACTGCCATGTCTTTCTTGTAGGTAGGGGTGCACAGTATTCGAGGTACAGCCTCACCTGCACTGAGTTGTTGTGAACGAAGTGCAGGACCCGGCACTTGGCCTTGCCAAATCTCATATTGTTGGCCTCAGCCCATCAAAGACAGCCTGTACAGATCCCTCTGCAGATCCTTCCTACCCTCAAGCAGATCAACTCTTTTGGTGTGGTGATAATGTGATAATGTCATTTCATTTAATTCAGTTGTACCCAACTACATGCATAGTTTTTGAGAAAGGTAGTCTAGAGTAGAGAATAGATTTCTAGATAGAGAAAGCTATTCATGGACAAATATTTTAAATCAAGTGGACTGTATGAACTCAGTTCCTAATACTTATGTTTACCTTTGCATAATTTAATCTATTCTTTTTAGATTCCAACAGAGATTTCACTGGATACAAACTGGCTGGCATTCTGAAAATGCTGAAATGACGAGAAAACACTGGCCACGTCAGCAATATTCCAGAAGTGATACATTGTTTTAGAAGAGAAGAAGAGAATAGAGGAAGAAAGGAAAAGATTCCCACTTACAGTAATAGTCTGATCACTATGATTTCATATTACAATATCAAATAGTCATGAAAACAGCTATTCTAATGAAAACAGCACTTCTAAAAATTACCACTAATGTTATATTTGTTTGAGTGAGTCTGATAAGCATCTTTCCCCATTCCTGCCCACTTGAACTTCTCCCTCTTCAAAGGATATCTATAATTCTGTTTTCTGTTCACACTCAAAAGCACATCATAGGTCGGGGAGATTCCTGAGCATCAATCTTTCAGTAATTATTTTTTATATACAAGAAAGATATAAAAACTTCAAAAAAATGGCAAATTACACACCTACGGAAAAACACAGCTGAAAAAAAATCATTGAACAATGTAAAATGCCACAGGCTTCACTTCTTACTCAGACCACACTACTTTGAAAGGGATTTGCTTGAGTTTGGTGAGCCTCATATCTTATAACTTTCTTAAAGAAGCCTAGGCAGCGTTTTGTACATATCAGTCTTCAGCACTAAAAGACTAAATTACTATAACAGGCTCTATGCAGCATGGCACGTGCTTGAGAAACGTGGTTGGTAGAGAGAGCAGTTCTGCTATGTACTTGGTAACGTTAACCAAACCTATTGCTTGTGCTAAGTACCCTGATGGGAAGTGCAAAATAAAAATGCACTTCCACAGCAATGTAAGCGGTGGGGAAGACCATTATGAGTGGTAACTCATAATGATGTTATCATCAGATTCGGTAACTCACTGCTGTTCCCTTCTGCAGCAAGTGATGTTTCTAGCTCCAGCAAAACAGTTCATACAGCAGGTCTGAAAGACCTTAGCTGAATGCTTGAAAAAAAAAAAAACCCTGTCCCTGCACACTCCTGCTGGCACTTATAGCTATTTTCAGTGAGTCTATTTAAAGCTAAGTTTGTGCTTACTCACTTTACTGGATTAGGGCCAAACAGTTTAGTGCCTGACCCAGAAAACAGGAAACTTTTTGAGTGTAGCCTGGAAAGGTAACCTTCTGCTATGGAACAACAACAGCAATCAGTTCAGGCTTTCAAATTATACTATTTTTAACTAAGAGTTAGCAACTTTTTTTGCAAGACCAACATAAATTGGACTTCTCTGATGGATGTACAATGGGCTAAGTCTGTTTAATAGATGATGGAATATTAGGCTTCTCTAAGAAGATTAGCAGAAGATATTAACTTTTACTGTAGTATGCATATTTCAAGACATTACTCTATGATGGAAAATGGAAATGGAAATAATGGAATATATAATATAATGGAAAATAATGGAAAATGGAAAAAATATAGAAAGTTCCCACAAAGTGCACAAACTGCATATAGTCCCTGCTAGAGCAGGTGGGTTGGACTAGATGATCTCCAGAGGTCCCTTCCAACCTTAACCATTCTGTGATTCTGAGTCTCTGTGATATATGAGGAAGTGATTGTGACCATTCAGCTAAAATAACAACAACAAAAATCTTGCAGTCTTCCAGAGGCAAAAGAAAAAAGGAATGCTTAGCAGAGTTCAGGTGAATATAAGATGGAATTGGTTCTTGTAAAGGAAATACATGCAATTTATTACACATTTAATATAAGCCAAGTTCTAAAACATGACAGCAGCAAACCTTTCAGAGAACATAATGTCCATTGGTGTGTGGAATAATTTCAGAAGGAAAATATTTCAAGTTGCCTGTTCTGAAAAAAGTACTGGTGTATAAATGCTTCAGAACAGTCTGTAGTGGAATAACTCACTGATATCTTCCTCTGTGATTTCAACAGCAGTATTATAAATGCACAAACGTGACCAACACAATGTAAATTTCTGAAAGTACTACGATCATGAAAATAGCTCTGTAAAAGCCAGCCTGAACTGTGCAATCTATTTCTGACAAAAGAACTTGTCAAATACATTCCTCCAACCTGTCCAACAAAGTCTTAAAGAAAAGAAGGCACATATCCATTTTTAGAATTGCTATTGTAACATATCTATAAAATAACTGGACAGCTTCTTGGTCTAAAGTAATTATTCTGCAATTAATTTTTAGCCTGGTACACTTCCATTGATAAGCACCAGAACTGCTCAGCCAAGAAATGTGTGAAAATACAGCTCAGGCAACGTTAATCAGGACAGTCAGTCCCTTTTTCCCTTGTGAACTCTCTGCCTCATTTCCTCCTCAGAAATTGCTTTTAAGTATGGTTCTTCTCAAGGCAAATAAAACATAATTCATTTAATCAGATAGAAAGCATGTACCAGAGTGTCCCTCATTAGAGGAAAACAAATGGCTTCTGCTTCAATCTAGCATTATTGCTTTCTCTTAAGCAAAACTAATGCAGTGGAAATTAAATACTCATAACAAACATCTAGTAAACAAAATAGCTGATTATTTAAAGATAATGACAACAGAAACAGATATCACAGGCAATAAATTTCAATCTAGATCAGCTAAGGCTAATATGTATAGCCAGCTGTTTAGAACTACAGTCTTGAATGGCCAATTTCCTTGAAATTTGGCTGTGATAAAGCCTGCTGCTTCCCCCCACCCCAGGAATTTTCAGTTATGTGTGGATTACTCTAAAAAAAATAAAGGAGCTCTTTCAGAGACAGACATTTTATACGTAAGTATTAAGGACCTGACAGACATGTAACAGTGACCTACAGTGATCTACAGTGCCACAATACAGGTGAGTGGACAAGCCATGGACAGAGCATTATTACAGTCATCATCAGTCAATCTTGTGCTCCTATATGATAATCAGAAATCTATTGCTATCACAATTTGATGGTAAGCTGGACATTTAAAATAAGGGATGAATTCAAGTGCAGGAAAGGGGGATGATAACACTTCAAACTTTTCTTGTAGAAACAGTTTACTACATTTCTTCTCATTTATTTTCCAGAACAATTTACTTTCCAAACCCTCCTCCAAAGCTATGCCTCACTGTGAAATGGTAGAAAGGTAACAGGGTAGTTAATTGCAAAAGAAAGCCAGGACTAGCTGGCTATGACCATCCATTTCCCCTTCCATAATTCCTGCCACATAGAAGAAGGTAATAAATACAGAGTTATCCAGACATAGATCTGAATCTCCCACACTCATTGCCTTAATAACAATTATTTGAAGCTTCATTACTAGACCTTTTTGGACACCAAGAAACAGCCAGTGCCCAAAGGCTGAATATCCAGAAGCAAAGGCTGTGGCAAACACATACGCCTGATTTTCAGAGACATTTAAAGAAAGACTTCTGATTTTTAAGCACTTAAAAAAAAAACATTGCTTTTTAAGGAGTCTGCAGAGATAGAAGGACTTAAAAATAGTA